GCTATGCCCAGAGCAGAGCGCTGCCCGCCCACACCCAGCGCCCTGACCCTTCATGCACGGCGGCAGCACCACCTCCTCTCACTGTGTCTCTCACAGCACAGTAATACAAGGCAGCGTCCCGCCAGCGGGGCTGGGAGAGATGCAAGGCACTGGAGCGACGGTCTGCACCCACAAGCAGAGTCCCTGCCGGCTCCGACACAGCCTTGGAGTCTTTTAAAGTGCTCCCGATGAATGTCGGACCTCGTCCTGGGAGCTGGCAGTACCACTGGATGTAGTCGTAGGACTGAATGTTGGGGTGTGAGCAGGTGATGTTGACGGCTTTGCCCTCAGTGGTCTCTGCCGATGGCTCCTGCTGGATCTGGGCTTTGCCAGCAGCTGCTGTGGAGAAAGAAGATAAAAATACTGAAAATCTCTTTCTTCCTAGCTCCAACAGCTGCTTCTGTAGGAGCATCCATGAGAAAGGGCAAAGCCAAGGGAAAGCATTAGCGGGACAGAGGCTGAAGGGACACATGGGGACATGTAGCCGGTGTGTATGGTGGAGAATGACATCCTCATCAGACTGCAGAAGAAGTTCGCATGGATGCATGAATGGATGAGTTTTCTAGTCAGTCATGTGGATGGATGGATGAAAGCAGGGAAAGAAGACAGGAGAGAAAAGGTGTGATGAAAAGTGAAGGACATGAGATTTCAGGGCAAGAAGAAATGCTGAATGCACAGGGGAAAGGATCGACAGATGGCATGAGAGAGTAGCACGCGCCGCGCTGCCCCCCGCCAGCAGCGACTCTGCTGCGGCGCCGCCGCCTCCTCTCGGCCGCCGCCGCCAGCTCCGCCCCGGGGCTGCGCCCTGGCCCGGCGCCGGCCCCGTTATTGGTGTCGGTGCCGGTGTCGTGGTCTGCCGGGCCAGAGCGGTACCTGGTCCAGTCGGGAAGCAAGCGCAGCGGGATCAGGGCACTCGGCGGGGATGGAGGAACTGCTGCCGCCGGGCTAGTGTCTCAGCGGCCCCGGGAAAGGCCCCCGCGAGCGGGAGCGGGACGGCACCGCCGCTCATGCGCCTCGAATGAGTGCGGAGTGACCCCCGACGTGCAGGAGTGTGGGAAGGGGCTCCCCGAACACGGGCACCTTGGCGCGGTATCATCAAGGCTGCTCTAAAAGCAGCCATGGGAGAAGGGTCAAAACACAAGGGAATGGCATGAGCCTTCGAAAGTTAAGTACTTCCTATATTATGTATATGCACATTTATACTATTTATCCTTTTTTTTCTTTTTTGGAAATGCAAGTAAACATGAGTTATTTCTTAGCAGATAAAGACTCTCTGCAGTCTTCTTCTCACTTACATTGCAGTGCAATGGAGAGTCTCAGTGCTTAGGAGGCTGTAGCCAGTGCACCTGTCCCTGATAAATACAGGCAGCTCCTAATGCTAGAGAGCTGGTACCAGAAGAAGGGACATTTGCTTCAGAAGAGGGCGGGAGAAGTCAGTAGTGATCCTTGATGCCTGCTGTCTTCTGCAAGGGAGTATTGTGACTCTGCACCAAACCAGAGTCTAGTTCCAAAGGCAGGCTTACAGAAGCAAGAAAAGCCTGTAAATTATTGGAAGTTATAGCTCTATTACACCTGCAATGTTGTAAAGCCATTGCATGGGAATGGGACATGTGGTACAGAAGCCTGAGAGGACACCTGTTCAGAAGTAATGCAGGTGAGAAAAGACCCTGAAGCAAATCAAGGAAGTTTGTCATGAGGATGGTTCCTTGAGCTTTGCAGTACATCCAGTCAGGTGAATAGCTAGGGCGAATTCCTCCTCCCCTTAGGCAGGAAATTTCTTCTGGGTAATAATTTCCATTCTGAGGCATTTAGGAGCTGGATGAAGTGCATCAGGCAGGACGGACATCCCTTTGGAGAGTGTAAAACTGAAACCACAGTTTGGAAAGATCTGTACTGTCAATGTGGCCCCTCTGGAGTTAGGAAAGGGAGAATGAGGTGGATACAATAAACATCAGTGTCTCGGAACACACTCTCCTGTGTCCCAGCTAGTTGGGATGGGCTTTCAGCAGCACTGCATTCTTCCAGGTCTGCCATGCACTGCAGTGGAGTGGCACAGCCTTCTCCCCAGCTGTGCACACCCTGCCTGGCTGTGATCTGTCCCCAAGCACCGAGGAGCTCCCCAAACAGTCTCTTGCTCCACAGACTCCCAGGGACAGCTCAAAGGAGGCTGCATCCAGACCCGGGCAGAGGTGCTGAGCACAAGCTCTCCTGAGCAAAACTGCTCAGCCAGAGTCGCTCACAGACATGCAGGACCAGGCCAGGCTTCTCCACCCAGCTCAATACTTCCTTCAAATCACAACATTGTAATGGAAAGAATTTTTTCCCCCCTTTTCCCACTAACATCTTCTGAGAGGATTGGTAAATGGGGGTTGGCTTGTTTTCCTCTCTTGGGGAAATCCCATTTCTCCTCATGACATGAAACATTGGGGCTGTGCTTTCCTGTGTTTTGTGCCTTGAATGCAATTTTAATGTGCAGTCTGTATTTTTCAAGTGGGCATATTAGCAGGACAATTTTAGATCTCTTTAGATCTCTTCACTTTTGTTTGCACCTCCCCCGCTAGGTGCTCTGCCCTCTGCTCTGCAGGAGCTGCAAACAGACTGCGCTCTGTGAAACTGTTCCAGGGCTTGAAATATGCCTGCTTCCTGCCTCTGCCGTTGGAAATCTATAGGGTCTATATGCAAGAGAGGTTGCCATCCAAAGCAAGAATAAACCCCATCCTCACGCCACTGCGCACACAGTGCTCCACATGCAAGTTGATTGTCACTGGGGGAGGCAAATGCATCAGGATACCTTGGACACTGTCCAGTGCTCCTCCTCAACCAAAGAGACTCCCCTGCCTCCCAAGTCACAGTCCTGGCTCCCGCTCAAGCAGTGCCACCATCCCTGAGGGCCTTCGGGAACACCCAGCCTGGGAAAGTGCATCCTGCTGCTGCTGTGGCCAAATGTTCTGTACAGACAATGAACAAGTGATCTGCAAAGAGACTGCAAGACTTGGATGTGACCCAGAATGATTCCTTCCAGTCCTGGTGCTCTGCTGAGAGATCCAGTCACAGAATCGCAGAAGGGCTGAGGTTGGAAGGGCCCTCTGGAGATCATGTAGTGCAGATCAGAAGAGTCCATACGCTATCTGTTCAGCTCACAGCAAGTGTGGTCCCATCCAGGCTGTAGAGGGAAAAGCCCTCCATGGCAGAGGCTTCTTCACCAACTTCTCCTTCTTTTGAGGCCGAGGACACCAGCCCCTTTGAAAAGGAGGCTTTTGGCAGGATGATTCCTGGATGCAAAGGGTAAATGCAGCTGTTAGGAGAGTCCTGGGGGCATTTCCTCAGAGCCCAGCCTTGTCCAGAGGCATCTCCACCCTCCTCCTCACCTCAGCTTTTTGCACAGCCAAGGAAGCTTCCCGCACCAGGGTGTCTTGCACAGCACAGAGGTATAAGGCAGTGTCAGAGACCTGGACTTCCTCCAGTCGCACCACACTCAATTTCCAATGACGTTTCAGCAATGCGGTGAATCGGCCACTCTCCTTGGGGCCATCTCTTGCCTGATACAAGATCAGCTGTGGAGCTTGACCTCTCCTCTGCTGGTACCAGAAAAAGCCATAAAATCTAGACGTCTGATAGTTGCAGGTGGTCTGGAAAGTGCCTCTCTCCTCCACTGTGACTAGACCGTCTTTCTGAGTCACGGTGGTCTGGCCCATGGCATCTGTAAGAAAGTCAGGAGTCAGGGATTGAGAGGGGAAAGTCTTCAGGACGCAATGCCCTTTAGAAGATGGACCCCTCTCCCCTGCTCTGCAGCAAAGTACTGAGTATAGTTAGTGGTTTTGGGTAGGAGCTTGGCCTTCTTGTTTCAGTGCAAGGATAATCCTTTCCCGTCTGACAGGATGCTCCTGTGAGAGATCTCTGCTGCGGCCCTGCTCCTCAGGCTCCTGCTGCCCATGGTTCAGGTTGTCTTGAGATGGCATGAAATCTGATCCTTCCGCACAGAGCAGAGCCCTTCAGACAGCTGGTGGGTAGGGCAGCGTTTCCTGAGGAAAAAGAGGGACTACACTAAGAGTAAATAAAGACTCCTTACCTAGCCATGTCCCCTGGAGGGCAGTGAGGACGAGGTATCTGAGGTACATGCTGAGACGGAGCCTGCTGTTTGTGTGAGAGACAGTCAGAAAAGCACCTCCCAGCTGCAAGAGAGCTGAGCTGACGGAAAGGACCCTGTGAGGGGGACACAGAAGGGAAGGGAAAAAAACAGGGTTGTTCTTAGCATGCCTGAAATGTGCTGTCTGCAGTTCTCCCTCTTCTGGCAGGGACCCGTGTTGCTCCCCAGGCAGCAGCCCACTCCATGTCTTCATGATGGCATGAAGGAAGCTGCAGGTTCCCCAAGGTAGGAGGTGAGTGTTGCAGGTCAGCTAGAGAAGCTGTCAGTGTGGACTTGTGTTTGCAGGGACAGTGACTAAATGAAGCTGCTTAGTATGTAGTGGAAAGAAGAGCTGAGTGGTAGAGCTGAGATTTCTGTGGCAAGGATGTCTCGAGATAGCCGAAGGTCTCAAGCACATCCATCATCCTTGCAGTGTTTGGACCAAAGGAGCAATTACTGCTCTGTCCAAGGCTCCCTGGCAGCTGACCAAAGCCTGAACACTCAAGACTGGCCCAGCCTTCAGCTAGGAGTTGGACATGCAGTTCATGACAGAGGTCACTGAAAAGGATATGAACGCGGCTGCTGGGGACCTCTGTCTCTTTGTCCCACCTAGAAATAGCAACCAAGAAACCATCTCCCTGCAAGGCAGAAGTGTCCTTGGTGTCTCCTAACATCTAGCACCCAGCCACACTCAGGGGCTTGCACCCATGCCTGTAAACCTGCCAGCAATTCCCCACAACATAGTTACAAAGGGCAGCTGAGGTGGGATAGGGCTGAACTTCCTCCCTGTCTCTGAAGCACATGACATGAGACCTGCTGGGAGCACAGGGAGCTCCCTCCTCTTCCTCTCCCTGAGGAGGAAGCCACCTGGAGGCTTTGCTGGCAGCGCCCCACAACCCTGTGGGAGCGGTCAGTCCTGGCTGGAGGCAGCGTTTGGGTCTGGGGGAGGCAGGCAGCGAAATGCGGGAGAGTGAGGAGGAGCTGTGGGGAGATGGAGAGAGGGACAGAGCACTAGTTAGGAGTGGGAGAGACCCAGGCAGAGCGGGGAGGGTTCGGTCCTCGCTTTGCTGCGACCCAAGGTACCGACCGCCCGGTCACACGGGGCCCCCACTCAGGCATTACGCGGTGAACCCTGGCACCGCCGCTCTGCCCAGAGCAGAGCGCTGCCCACCCACACCCAGCGC